TATTGATGTTATTTATTATATTGATAAATATTTTATTGATGTTGTTATACACATTGGTTTTTAAATAAATGAAAAATTTTTTCTATATACATTGAAACTTTGTCTACTTTTATTTAATAGAACCTTAATATAGTTTAACAGTTAGGAAATAAAGAAATTCACTAAAAAGTTTACATTTTTTATACATATTTTATTTAAAAGTAACTTCCATATAAATACAAGACATTATTACATTTTAGTTCAACATTACTTCAAAGTCAGTTTAACTTTTCTAAAAGTTAACTTTAACTTTTCAAATAGTTAACTTTAACTTTTCAAATAGTTAACTTTAACTTTTCAAATAGTTAACGTTAACTTTTCAAATAGTTAACTTTAACTTTTCAAATATTTACATGCATTTTACATATAACTTTTCCAAAAGTTAACTTTAACTTTTCAAATAGTTAACGTTAACTTTTCTAAAAGTTAACTTTAACTTTTCAAATAGTTAACGTTAACTTTTCTAAAAGTTAACTTTAACTTTTCAAATAGTTAACTTTAACTTTTCAAATAGTTAACTTTAACTTTTAGAAACTTTTAAATTTCTGATTTATTTATCCAACTATTGTGAGAATTATCAAATCCAAGCCATTTTACATAGACTTTATAATGACGATTTTTAAGAACTTTCTCGACAAGATAAACATCTGAATATTTGACTTTGGAAATTTTTTCTTCGTAGAAACCGCCTTCGATGGGTTGATCTTGATAATCCTTTAGCTTGTATGTTACCGGCTTTGTTGATTTTACTTGAGTGATGGTGAATATTTCAGTTGTCCAGTTGGGTGTGTATCCTTATTCAAAAACATTCTTATACTTGCTAACTCGCACTTTATCACCAACTTTGAATTTTGCTTTCTTAAATAAAATTTTCCTTTGTTTGGATATGCGTTTCAACAATCTCGTTTGGATCATCCCAATAGACATAGTCTGGATATGATTCCTTCTTCACCGTCATAAATTGCGGTAATTGAGTTTTTCTCTTCAAATAAGAATCTCCAGATTTGAGCAAAAGTTTTGCTATAACATTAGTATATTTGAAAGTCTTATTACTACGAATAGGTTTATTTGGACTATAGTTTTTTCTATATGCATTCGTACTACGCAGGATTTCTTTATAGTTTACGAAATCATTAGCATTTGTTAACTTCTGATCAGGTTTTTGACGGAATATGAGTTCCAATAATCCATCCGTTTTAGAATATTTTTTCTTCCCAACTAGGTTAATGTAAGAACCTTCAAAATTAATTTGCGTATCACCAATCATATATGTACCTTCGGGAAGCTTACGTACTCCATAAACCGTATCTATATATTGCTTCCTATTTTTGTCCAACATTTGTAGAAATTTCTTTGTTAATTTATCAGAATCTTCTTCTTCTTCCATAGTATCAATCATATTACTTGTGTCTTTAATATTATACATGTCTTGCTCATGAAAGGCATCATTAAGTATATTATTTTGCTCATTAACAATAATATTATGATTCTCTTGATTTGACAATCTATCAATTATATTTTCTTTTGATAAATTTTGCATGTCTTCTTCTTCATAAATAGGATCATAAAACGTTACATCATCATTATAAATAGATTTGTTGAAAGGTGTATCTTTACTAATGGCAGTCTTAAAAGATGATTCAAAGTCTTCTTCTTCTTCTTCTTTCTTTACATGGTTTTGAAAATTTTCAATCTTTATAGGATTTTTAGTTTTATTCACTAATTTTTCCAATGGAGTAACTAATGGTTGAAAGGTTTCTTTCAATATATTTTCAGCTGACTCTCTGCCACTTTTAAGAATACGATGCTTTCGACGTATAGCATCACTTGCTGCAGCTATTTGATGTAGTGTCTCTCGCTCCTTTCGAAACATGTTTATTTATGAAAGTCTCAAACTGAACTAATGCAATTCTCTTGAAATGCTTAATATTTATAACTGGATAAAGCAATCAAATCCCTTCCTATATCTTCCATCATTTATATTTCTATCTTTGTCAATAACTACAAATCCATATCTGTCAGAGTTCCAACATACTGAACATAAATCTCGAAACTGTGTAAACGTCATATCTGTATTAACATGATCATTGTAAACATGCTTGAGATTCCTTTCATCTTGTCTGAATAGCACAAGCAAATTAATATTATCTCTAACAAGATGTTTTGGAATATGAGCATATGTTTGACAAAGATAAAAACTATCGACGTTAACATGTCGCCCCATACAAAAAAACGCTTTAACATTGTCCTGCTTCTCACAAGCGATATCATCAAAAATGAAAATTGAATTAGTTTTTGCATCTTTAGGTGTAACAACTTGTTCATGTTCACTGAATTGGAAGAACTCGATGCCATCTACTTTACTAAGTACTTGTTCCAAAAATTTATATTTCGGCTGCTGTAATGATTTTGAATATAAATATATATTTTCAAATCCTAAACCATTCGGATGTATAATCAGAGAAAGAAGTGCATTCGTTTTTCCACAATTTGAAGGTCCACAAAAAGCTGCTCGAATACTGTTTGAAAATAAACTTCCATGTCGTTTAACCCCATTACCTTTAGTTTCAATGAGGTTATCAACATTTGCAATCGGGAGTTGTACAGCTTGTACCTTGAACTGCATCTTGGAATTGACTAACGAAAAAAACTATAAATACCCCACTTATATAGTCGCCCTCAATCAGTTGGTTATAGACCATTGTCGAGTGAGGAATGATTACTCACGATAAAGTGAAGAAAAATTCTTGCAGTGGTCAAGGATTTCTCAATACTTTAATTAACAAATTACCATTCGAGTGTCACATTCCTGGTTATCAATATTGTGGACCTGGAACAAAGTTGGCAAAACGTCTTGCACGAGGGGATCCTGGTATAAATCCCTTGGATACGGCTTGTAAGGAGCATGATATAGCCTATTCAAAAGATAAAGACGTGGCTGCAAGAAATACTGCAGACAAAATACTAGCGGAAAAGGCGTGGGAACGAGTAATTTCCAAGGACGCTAAAATTAGTGAAAAAGCAGCTGCATTAGCTGTAACTAATATAATGAAAGCTAAATCTAAATTTGGGATGGGTTTAAAAATTAATAATAATATTAAGAAAAAGATTGTGAAGAAGAAGAAGAAGAAGTCGAAGAATAAGAAGAGGAATACAATTTCCAAGAAAAATAAACGCATGACATTAGGGAAGATTATTCATGCTGCTAAAAATAATATGAAAAATAATCATAACGCAACGGACACTATTAAAACAGCAATGATTGGTGCACAAAATGCAATTAAAAATCTTGGTAGTAAATGTAAAATTTCATCTCCTCGAATTCTTCCTGTACCTTCAAAAGTTGGTGGTATTTTACCGCTAATACCAATTTTTGCGGGGCTTAGTGCATTAGGAGCACTTAGTGGTGGAGTCAGTGGTATTGTAAAAGCAGTAAATGATGCTAATGCTGCTAAAAAACAACTTTCAGAAACTCATCGACATAATGAAACAATGGAGGCCATTGCTATAGGAAAGGGTATATATTTGAAACCCTATCGTAAAGGACTTGGTCTTTATATTAAACCACATCAAGGAAATGGATTGAAATATACAAAGAGTGTTCAAAAAAACTAATATTGAAGCTACCTCACCGCGCACTAACCGACTATGATTTACTTAAATATGCTAAACTTATGAAAATACCTCAATTTCGTGGAGTTTTCATGAGAAATGAATTACCTATTACAGGACCTTATAAATGTGAATCAGCCATAATTAATCTTGATAATAAAGAAGGTCCTGGAACACATTGGGTAGCATATAAAAAGATAAACAATGAAACTGAATATTTTGATAGTTTTGGAAATCTTTCACCACCATTGGATCTCATTGTTTATCTAGGTGTTGGTAGCTATATCAAATATAATCATGAGAGATATCAAAATTTTGATACATTTATATGTGGTCATTTATGTCTTAAATTCTTATGTAAGCAACTTAACGTTAAGAACAGTTTTAATCTATATAAGAATATGTAAACGATTATAACCTTCAGTATAAAAGTAGATGTCCAACATGAATGACTCTTTTACTTTAACGTTAACGGGAAAGTCTTCAGTTCTGGAGGCTTCATACTTCCCACCTATTGAACTTTCACCTAATAAAAATTATACACTTGGACTTGTTGATTTATTTACATATAACTCAATTCCTAATATTGATGAAAGTTCCAACAAATTTTATATAAATAATATTGAGATTACTATACCTACTGGTAGTTATGAAATTAAAGATATAGAAGCATATTTAAAACGTCAAATAACAGATAAAAATTATTTGTCAATAGAGTGCAACAATAGTACATTACGATGCTATATTAAATCAAATCTTTGCATTGACTTTACTCCTGAAGATTCTATTGCTAGTTTATTGGGATTCACTGCTCGCAAACTACCACCAAATGTAAAACATTCCTCTGATTTACCTGTAAAAATATTGAAAGTGAATGCTCTACGCATTGAATGTAATATTACCACTGGAGCGTTTATAAATAATGAAAAAGTCCACACTATACATGAATTTTTCCCCACTGTTCCACCGGGATATAAGATTGTAGAAGTTCCAGCACACATCATTTACCTTCCAGTCGCCGTAAGGACAATACATAACATTCAGCTACGTATAGTAGATCAGAACGGTATTTTAGTTAATTTTAGAGGAGAGACAATAACAATCCGTTTACACATTAAATCAATGTAATGGGTATTGTTTATAATCGAAAAGTCGGAAGTAGTTATAAAACTCAAACACCATGTCCATCGAAGATCAGTTTGAATACAGCTCGCAAGGTGTTAACACCTCAGAGTCGACAATTCCTGAAGCAGCTAGGTCTACGAGTCAGAAATCAAAACTAAGGAAGAGAAAGAAGAGAAGAGGAGAAAATTTTTTCTTGTTTATTTTGTGTCGCTGTTATAAGAAAAATGGAGGAGATTCTCAGCATTCCAGCATCAGTGAATTTTGATGAATCCATAGCTAATTATGAGATTCACAGTCATCAACCATATGCATCCTCATCGTTTAACAATAGTGATGAAATTCGCATTATTGTACAAAATCAAGATTTATCTATTTTACCAAGCAATAGTGTATTACATATTTTTGGAAGGTTGACTAATGCTGATGGAACTGATGCCACACAAAATATTCATTTCACCAACAATGCGATAGCCTATTTGTTTGATGAAATTCGTTATGAATTGAATGGTATTGAGATTGACCGTTGCAAGTACGTTGGACATACAACTACTATGAAAAGCTTGGTTTCATTAACACCACCTCAACTTAACCGCGCTGAAAATGCAGGAATTTTGAATATGGAATTGAATACAAGAATGTCATTACAAGATGGATATTTTGATGTATCAGTACCACTTGGTATGATTTTTGGTTTTGCTGAAGATTATAAAAAAATTGTTATGAATGCGAAACATGAACTGATTTTAATAAGAGCACGTAGTGATTTAAATTCTATTATTCAAACGGGCGAAGGTGCAGATGAACAGTTCAAAGTACAAATTAATAAAGTGGAATGGTTAGTGCCATATGTTTTACCATCTGATAATAATAAAATCAAATTATTGAAATTTATCGAGAAAGATCCACTAATTTCAATGAGTTTTCGATCATGGGAAATGTTTGAATATCCATTAATTCCGTCAAGTACAAGAGTCATGTGGCAAATAAAATCGTCAACACAATTTATGATATGTATGCTAATTTTCAATCTTCCTACTATGGAAGAGATTCTGAACCCATATTAAAGCTTGACACTTTTAAATCATTGGCTCCTCTAATTGTTATTGATTGTTCAAAACAAAACGAGTTTCTCAAACAAACGTCAGTTGATGTACGTTTGGAATTTGAAGCTAGAAATAATATACCTGCTGAAACAACTGCTTATTGCCTCATTATACATGATCGCATTGTACAGTATAAACCAATCAGCGGTATAGTTAAGAAGATGTAAAGCAGTGGAGGGGGTAAAATGAAAGTAGTGGGGGTTGAACTGAGAGGTATATAACTCACGTTCCTGGGATAGAAATTTATTTCTATTCCAGGATGGAGTTCATCGTAGACGTTCAAGGCTTCAAGAAACCCTGCAACGATTTCATTTTCAAAGAGTTGGCTATACTTCCTCTTGAAGCTGATGCTCAACCTCGAGTTTACCTCTTTGAACCTCCATGTGCTTGGAATTCATTACCTCAACGTTATAAAAGTGAAAATCTCTGGCTAACAAACAATTATCATGGAATCCACTGGATGTCTGGAGATGTATCTTATGATGAACTGCGTACTATTATACAAGAAACATTACGAGGTGCAAAAACTATCTACACGAAAGGTGTTGAAAAAAAGCAGTGGTTAGAAAAATATTTGTTAAATGTGCAAAATTTAGAAGATATAGACTGTCCAGCGATTAAAAATATTAAAACTGAATCATTGTTAACTACATGTACACATCATATTACTCAAACTAATCATTGTGCTGTAAACATTGTTATGATTCTTCGAAATTGGTTTCTGAATGTATCGAATGAATTGAGAAATTTATCAGATGGCGTCGATGAAGTGGATTGTACTTATACTACTTTAAAATCTTTTTATGAAAATTCTGAATCTTATGTATAATAAAATTTAAATACTTTATCTGAATAAATTAATTTATTAGTTTTTAAAAAATAAAAAAACGTCTATTTATTACTTGAACCTATACCCTTAGTATTAAGACTAATAATGAAGGTAAAATAAGAAAAGAAACCATTTTTTTATGTAAATTAATACATTTATTTTTCTCACATTATGAATATTTACAATTTTATATTACAATTATTTTTTCTTTTTATATTTTAATAATTTTTTAATATTACTTATATTCAAATTCGATTACATTAAACTTGCCGCCGATATATTTTAATTGTAATTTTTGAGATTGTGCGGCTTCTTCCATCATTGTGAATGATGCAGGTTCAGTTTCGAACAGCTTCGCGAACCTTGCTGGGAGGAAAGTGTTGAATGTAGTATCTAGTTCTGCTACAATCCTACCTCCGAATTTTGTCTGCACCCTCTTTATTTTGGTTACAGTATATAAAGCATTTGGAGTCAACTCAGCAAGCGGTTTTGTTGGCAGGAAGCTTTCCATGTGACCAATAGCGTTGAGTTTTTGTAAATCCATGATTTCTTTTTATATCTGTAAGCAGAAGTAAATGGAAAATTTTAATATAAAAATCAAAATTAAGCTGGGAGGGAAGTGGGTTAAAAAAAAGGATTTAAAGTAGAATATATATACCTTATAGAAGATGGAGTAGTGATGCTAATGCTGTGGCTGCTGTTGATGTTGTTGCATCAGTATATCTGTAACAGTTATGCTATCTCTGGGCTTGTGTTCTGCATTATATCCCATCAACCCCACTCTTCTTTTTCTCCCACTTTAAAAAAGAACTGCGCACGCAACACACCATATACTATGTACCCCCACTCTATTATAATAATGCGCGCGCAATGTTGATGGGGCGAGAGAGGGAGTGCGCATGAACCCCACTCTGGTTGTCAAGAGAGTGGAAAGTGGGAGAAGAGCTAAAAAATGAGTGGTTGGTCGAGGGTGACCAAGTGGGAGGAAAGTGGGTAGAATGTTCAAAAAAATGACTATGCAATGAGGTTTAAAAATTCCCACGAGTAACAGCGCCATCTTGCGACAACAGTTGGTAACACCGATCTATGCTAAAGTAGAGTTACCACTGAAAAATAGGGACTTATGCAAAGGGGTTAAAAATTTAAAAATTCCCGCGAGAAACAGCGGCATCTTGCGACAACAGTCGGTAACATCGGTCTATGATAAAGTAGAGTTACCATTGAAAAATAGGGGCTTACCATGGAAAAAAGAAGTTTTAAAAAGTGCCGCCTTCTTCTAAAAAACAACATTAGTATATGGTAAAATAGTTACATACCATGAAAAATATAATCGGCATGCAAATTAGTGGGTGGAAAGTTGGAGGGAAGCTTAAAATGACGTGAGTGGGTGGTAGACGGTGACCAAGTGGGAGGAATGTGGGTGAGATTCTCTATTTTAATTCTACTGCTGCGAGTGCTGAAGGTCTACTGCTGCTCATACTGGAAGCTGAAACAGAATGACTTTTCTTGCCACAAGAATCGCCTGAGGTACATGTAGTCCCCACCATACACAACATCCCACCACTGAACTCCATCCCCACTTGACGCATGGACTACCAACGGGCCCCGGTAACCGTACGCGCACATCTGCCGCGCACCTTTCACTTTTGAGCCATCCACTGTGCGCCACCCACTCCCAACCACCCACAGTCCCGCGCGGTATCTCGCGAACCCTTTGTTCCTCGAGGTTCTAATTATGATTTTTGAATTTTTGGGACCGTATATGTTTATACTGAAAAGGGTTATGCAAATTAGGGTGGATGGGCGACCAAAAGGGTGAAAGTTTAAAAATATATATGAAAAATAGGGGGGGGTAGGTTTCCAAGAGGGTTGAAAGAAGGTGGGGTAAGGGGTGGTGGTGGGTGGTAATCAAAAGGGTTAAAATTCAAAAGGTGGGTGGCCAACAGGGTTGAAAGTGGAAGGTAAGGGGTGGTGGGGGGGGGGTGGGGGGGGTGATCAAACGGATTATAATTCAAAAGGTGGGTGACGAAAAGGGTTAAAATTCAAAAGGTGGGTGGCCAACAGGGTTGAAAGTGGGTGGTAAGGGGTGGTGGGGGGTGATCAAACGGATTAAAATTCAAAAGGTGGGTAACCAAGAGGGTTGAAAGTGGGTGGTGATCAAAAGGGTTAATATGCAAATTAGGGGGTGGTGGGTGGTGAATAAAAGGGTTAATATGCAAATTAGGGGGTGGTGGGTGGTGAATAAAAGGGTTAATATGTAAATTAGGGGGTGGTGGGTGGTGAATGAAAGGGTTAATATGCAAATTAGGGGGTGGTGGGTGGTGAATAAAAGGGTTAATATGTAAATTAGGGGGTGGTGGGTGGTGAATGAAAGGGTTAATATGCAAATTAGGGGGTGGTGGGGGGCCAAGAGGGCTGAAAAAAGGGTTCAAGGTCAAACTGTTTTAGAACTGGCACAGCCCTACTACTGGACTCTTCGACTGATACGTGAACGAAAGTCACGCATGCGCACTATCATTTCTATCTCCGTTGAAAGAAATCCATCCGAAAAGGGAATGGATTTCAAGCAAATTTCGCATTGAATGGAGGGGAGTATTTACGACATGGACTTGAAGTAAATATAGTACATGTTCCAAACTTTTCTTGCATAGGAATCTACGACCCTATAAACTCATGAATTTTGTCTAAAAAAAGCACGTCACAGGTGATGTGAATAATGAATGACACAACCCATGTGTAACAAATAAATTTGTTCATGAGAATATTTTACAATGAGAAAATGGGTCCTATCCAGACACGAAAACATGTAAAAAGTTTTAGTGTCGTGTCCAGACACGAAAACTTTTGATTACTTTAAAAGTGTCGTGTCCAGACACGAAAACTTTTGATTACTTTAAAAGTGTCGTGTCCAGGCACAAAAACATTTAATTTTTTCAAAAGTGGTTACAACACGAAAACATTTAATTATGTTAAAAGTATCGTGTCCGGACACAAAAACATTAAAAAATTTGTAAGCGTCGTGTTCAGACACGAAAACGTTTAATTTTTTCAAAAGTATCTGGTCGGGACATGGAAACATTTCATTAATTTAAAAGTGTCCGGTCAGAACACGAAAACATTATAAATTATTAAATGTGTTTGTGATTGAACACGACACTACACAAAATTGATTTGGCGTTTTGTTTCGTTTCCGTGTCAGTTCCTGCTTCATGGTGAAATATTTTTCCGATTTTAGTGAAATTCTAGTGAAATAAATTTGAATCTATAATTTCTTAATTTGAGAATTTCTCAAAATCTGATAAATCTATTTTCCAAGAAATTGGGATAATCACAACTTTAACATATATACAATATTTAATTCAAGATAAAAAATTTATTATTATAAAATGAAAAATTTTTTAAACATAAACTTAGATGATTTATAATTTCATTTTTTTAATAAAAAAATTACCAAGAAAATGTACATTTTCCGCTCCAGAACTGGTACAAGTTCAGCTGCTGAACATGTACATTTTCTTGTACAAAATCTTGTACAGGGATTTTCAATAGAGATATGTACATTAAAAATATTTACAAAACTTTTAAAAATATTAAATTTTGAAAAATTTGTATCTCATAAATGTCTATAAAAAATCGAAAAAATTATCAAGCTTTTTTCCGAAGAGTAATAGTAATATAGTAGTGAAATGATAAATAAAATTTGAGACAAATCAAAAATATCAAAATCGATGATATGCTGAGGTGTCGAGAACTTCATTGTATGTACTTTCTTTGTAACTGAATATAATTCACTTATACACTGAAAAAAAATTTATTTGATTCAAATACTTTAAATTATTTGAAAAATATTTAATTGGTTCAAATAATTTTCATTTGGATTAAAAAAAATATGTATTTGATTCAAATAACTTGAATTATTTGAATCGCATTTATTTGAACCAAATAAATCGTATTTGGTTCAATTAAATAATAAATTGAATTGAATAAATGAATTTATTTAATACAAATAATGAGTTACTTGAAACTATTCATTCATTTATTTCACTCAAATATTTCGTTTATTTGGTACAAATAGAAAGTATTTGACACAATAAATTTATGTAATTGATTCAAATAAACTGAATTATTTAAT